TTAATAAACTTCAACTAGTTCAAAATGCTGCAGGCAGGGTCCTCACTAAAACTAGAAAATTTGATCATATCAGTCCAGTTCTATCATCACTTCATTGGCTGCCTGTTAAATTCCGTATTGATTACAAAATTCTTTCATTGACGTATAAAGGCCTACATGGGCTCGCTCCTGAGTACCTGCAAGACCTTATTTCCTATTACGAGCCACCACGATTACTCAGATCACAGAGTGCAGGCTGAAAACGCACTTGTTTAGTTTAGCTTTTGGTAGTTAATGTTCCCCCTTAGATAAAGGCAGCAGATCCAGGGGTCCATGGACACAGGGAATTATAGTAAACTGAGACGCTGGTGCTGTCGTCCCGCCGCTCGCACGTGATCATTCAGGTTTGTGGAAGGTGGAGCAGAGGGATGCCAAATTGTTTCAGGGTGCTCCCGTGTCTGTGTGTCCTTTTGGTTCTCTCCTTTTCGTTAAAGCTGTTATAGTCAGATCTGCCAGAGTCATTAGCCACAGTCTAGAAATGTTCACATTCTCTGTTTTACATACACCCAAACAGAACAAAACTAATTCCATCTCCCTACGTTTTTCTGAGTAAACGACTGCCCACCTGTCCGGCCGGACACTGATGGATAATGGTCTGTCGAGCTCTCCTGCTACCCACTTCAGACCAGTTGCCCACGCCCCAGTCACCGCCACTTGCCCAGCTAGCGCCACTTGCCTTGGACTAGCTGCCCACCCTACATTGAAGTTTTCATGGACTCCTAACTATTACTCTACTACTACTACTATTAATATTAGTAGTATAATAATCTTGTAGGTAGTTTGACCAGAGTAGGATGGGTCCCCCCTTGTGAGCCTTAGTTCCTCCCAAGGTTTCTTCCGCAGCTCTGAGGGAGTTTTTCCTTGCCACTGTCGCCCCTGGCTTGCTCACCTGGTCTTTAATGGATTTCTGTGAAACTGCTTTGTGACACCATCAGTTGTAAAAAGCGCTGTACAAATAAATTTGACTTGACTTTGACTTGATTACTATGGCATCTGCAACAAAAAGTTAGATTGGTTCTAAAGTTATTTATCAGATAGAAAACAGTGTGTCTCATGGTCAAACTCCATCTCTGATCTAAAGACTAATATATATGGAGTTCCTCAAGGGTCAATACTGGTTACCTTACTGATTTTACTGATCAAAGTGAATGACCTTTATCTGCTAAGAGATTGTTTTTAATTTTGTTTGCTGATGACACCAACATTTTCTATGCCACAAGGAAAGCTAATTTCAACTATTTATATCGAACTAGCTAATATCAATACCTGGTTTGAAGCTAATTATCTGTCAACATCAAGAAAAGAGCTCTTACAAAGAATCTTTGAAGAACCATCCTTTTTAAGAGTGTGTGACAGACATACTGGTATACAGAAAGAGTAGTGCACTACACATGAAAAGTACTACTGAACATAATTTAAATAGCTTTATACTTGACAATAATTTTTGATGAGTTTTGGGAACATTGGACACACAGGATTAAAAGAAAAACTAGCTCAGCCAAATAAAAACAATGGCATTTGAACAACAACAGAAACCAAAATTACTGAGCTGAACAAAGTTGACAGTAAAGACAGCAAAATGATAGTAAATGTTCAAGGCTGAAGTTGACTTTTTTTTGCCAGCAGCTTCTTAGTCAAATTTTTGTTCCACCTTAAATGGTGCAGCAGTTACATCCTGGCACCATATGTACCATTTAAGTTGGAATGGTTAATTCCGATACAAAGCTGGCAAAGAAGAAGTCAGCCTTGTGGTAAATGTTAGGCTTGTTTTGTCGGCAGAAACTGTTATAATTGGTCAAACAGAGAGAACTGTGTCTTTTTTGTTATTTTGTTGTGCAACCATGAGGAAAACGGTCAGTTCACCTGGTGAGCTTCTCCAGTAAGAGTTTAAGTGCTGAGGGGGGCGCATAGATGCTGTTGATGCTTCGCTTGTTTCCAGCTTATGGAGCTGAACTTGAACTCTAAATGCTTCGATTGTCTTACAAAACAAAATAAGCCATTTTATTCACATGAAAAGTAACCGACTGTGTAGTGGTCTGCAGTCAGATTCTACATGTTTCTTCTACTTTCTTTCTTTGAGCCAGATTCTACATGTTTCTTCTACTTTGTTTCTTCGAGTCTTACCAAGCCTTAACATTGAAGTCTGAGTCAAAGTCCGAGTCCAAGTCATATGACTCGAGTCCACACCTCTGGCAAATGGTATAACTGAATTCCTCCTACACAGTCGCAAGCTTTAACAGCTTATGTTAAAGAGCTCCTTGATAGCCAATTGGGAGGTAGCAGTTTTGAATGCCTCAGCTATTGTTGTTCAGTCTGTCACTCTGTCTTTGCAGTACAGCTGTTTGAACACATGGCTTGGTCATGGCATTGGTTAATGGCAGTAAGACAAAAGTGTACAGCAGATGTCACAAACCATTAAAGGAATACAGAACTTTCTACCAGTGTTGTCCTTTGGACATGCACTTAATACACCAGCAGTAAAACATCATGAACCTTCAGAGAGCGAGTGTTCATAGCATTCATCATAGTCTTTATCCATTGGCAACCACCCACCATATGAGAATCAGTTACATCCTGACTCTAAGTGGGCTGCTGCCTATAACTTGGCACAAAACATATACAGATTTTCAGATTAATTAATCTACATTACATGATCAAAAGTATGTGCTTGTTGAATCTCATTCTAAAAAAATCAAAAAACCCCCCCACAAATATATGGCATTAATATGGCATTGGTTCCAACTACTACATGACTCAGCACTCTGTTGTCTTGTTATATAACACTGTGTTGGCCATCACTGCACTGCTCATCTGTTGTTGCTCCACAGTAACTCACATTTGACTGGGGCAGCTCTAGGAACTTGACAAACTGTACAGATTTCAAAGGTGGCATTACATGATGGTGACACCTTCAAAGGCAATGAGTTTATCAATATGACATTTCACATTCAATGTTGGTCTAGGGCAGGAGTACCTAATCCTGGTCCTGGAGATGTACCACCTGGGGAGATCAGATACTTGGTTGTAATATTCAGCTTACTTGCGTTTTTTGCACAACAACCAACATACGACCAGAATTTATCCATTTGTCCAGCAAACTGAATTGTAGTGTCATTTTAGAGACCCACCAAACCTGCCTGCTCATTATTATTTTTTTATTACGTGATATATATTGTAGTTATTTAAGAAAGAACAAAAAAGTAGACTAATAGACCTGCTTGCCATGTTTTCTTGACTATGTTTTCATTAATAGGCTGAAGTGTCATGGATCTAATTTTCTGCCTTAATGTGACACAGATTCAATGTTTTCAGACCTGTGTGGACACACTGGTCTGAGTTATCAAATCAGAGAGAGCCTAAGCCTGAAAAGGAGTGCTGTGTTTTAGTTTGTTTTTCTTGTGTTAGAAATGTGCTTTTGTTTTAGTTATTTTACTTGTACTTCTTGTACCTTAGTTTATATGGGTTTGTCTCTTATTAGGGGAAGCACTTAGTAGTTTGGTATTTTACCTGCATGCTTTTAACTTTGTTTTACAAAAGACTGGTTATATGTACCACCTGGGGTTTCAAACAGGTAAGCGGGGTGTGCCTTTACATTCGCACCATGTAAAAGTCTAATTAGTCTAGTTCCCAAGGTCAGAGGGCAGTGCCACATGTACTTTTGATTACTAGCCAGGGAGGTTAGCTTTTGTTTCCTTTTGTAGTTTAGCTAGATGCACAACAGACCACCAAGAAACACTGTACTGTGTGCAAACACACTACATAAAGGTCATTTTTTCATGGTATAAAAGTTTAGGAACAACAGCACTTAAAAACCTGCTCTGATCTGAGGGTTTCGAGAGGGACAATAAGGATGAAGCACCTCCTGTAAGGCCAAAAACAGTAAAAGGCACTGAAAGTTAAGGTGTGTACCATCATGTCTGCATCAACTGTGCTAAGCAGATGGTGGGGATGAGTAATATTGCACAAATGATAAAATGCAGTCTTACTGAATGACCTAATGAGAAGCTCAAATGTTGATGAAGATGAAACCAAAGTTTTTGTTGACATGAGCTGATCTGATAGCTGATCTGTCAACATTGACACTGAAGTTGAAGTTTGAAGCGAACTAACAGAAGCTATGCACAGAGACCCTAAATGATCTGAACTACAGGTGAAAGGCGTAATATAAAAAGAATGGGTTCACAGACAGAACCTTGGGATGCTCCCTGAGTGATCAAATTATTAATCAGTGAAGCCTTACCAATAACAGCATGTTCAGAAGGCCTACTTTAGCAAGACTGATGATTAATAATCTGGAGGTGGCAGAGTTGACTGCATCCAGTTTGCAGAACGAGTGAAGAAGACCACAGTTAATTCCACAGGTATTTGTATTGATTCTAAAAGTTTGTGTATCTAGATAATGGGGATATAGGCCTCTGACAAAAAGTGAGCAGTGGGGGAGTGTGACAGCCAGTAAATTTATTTTAGTTGACACACAAAGCCAAATACACAACATAACTTGAAAACCACAACTCCAAATGAGCATGCATTATTAAGCTTTTTAGTTCATTTGCTGAATACATGATTCACGACAAAAATTAGACAATCCACATAATAATAATAATAATAATAATAATAAAAAAAGATGCATCAACACATAGATTTTCCACCAGCAGACCTTGATAACATTTTCCACCAAAGCCTGACCAAACCATTCTCACTTAAAAGTAAAAACTGGTGGAAAACTACTCGTCTGCCTTTATTCAGTGATTGTTATTCAGTGAGAACAGCATAACTCAACTCACCACTATGCAGTTTAGATGGAGGTTTCAGTCTGGGCCTTGTTTTATCTCACTCAGCACAGCAGAGCTGGTTGTGGAACTGATTCACAGCTCTTCATTGTTCTTAGAAGATGAAACTAGAAAACAGCAGCTTCTCTTTCACTATTACTGCATGGACAGTTGGTAGTTGGACAATCCGAGTTGAGTTGCTTGAATGAGTCTGTATATGTATTTTGTTCTTTGAAAGACATCAAACCATGTGTGTCTTAAAACATAAATAACTGAAGCTTTTTCCACATTCTGTGGAGTGATAAAGATTCTTTCAGGTGTGAATGCGCTGGTGTCTTCGGAGATGACTCTGACTTGTAAAACTCTGTTCACACTCAAAGCAGTGATACGGTTTCACTCCTGTGTGAATGCGCAGGTGTAGTTGCAGACTACTCTGTATAGAAAAACTCTTTCCACACTCTGAGCAGTGATACGGTTTCTCTCCTGTGTGAATGCGATGGTGTGTTTGGAAATGACTCTGTTGACTAAAACTCTTTCCACAGTCTGAGCAGTGATATGGTTTCTCTCCGGTGTGAATGCGCTGGTGTTTTTGGAGATTACTCTGTATAGTAAAACTCTTTCCACAGTCTAAGCAGTGATATGGTTTCTCTCCTGTGTGAATGCGCTGGTGTCTTTGGAGACTACTCTGTATAGTAAAACTCTGTCCACACTCTGAGCAGTGATAAGGTTTCTCTCCTGTGTGAATACGCTGATGTCTTTGGAGACTACTCTGTATAGAAAAACTCTGTCCACACTCTGAGCAGTGATACGGTTTCTCTCCCGTGTGAATGCGCTGATGTCTTTGGAGACTACTCTGTATAGTAAAACTCTTTCCACAGTCTGAGCAGTGATACGGTTTCTCTCCCGTGTGAATGCGCTGGTGTCTTTGAAGATTACTCTGTACAGTAAAATTCTTCCCACACTCTGAGCAGTGATATGGTTTCTCTCCTGTGTGAATGCGCTGATGTATTTGGAGATCACTCTGTGAAGTAAAACACTTTCCACACTCTGAGCAGTGGTGAGTTCTTTTTTTGCCTGTGTTCTTTTGTGTTGGTCTGCGAGATGTCTTCAGGTGGAGAGCAGCAGATGTTTTCTGAATAACGGAGCTTCTGGACAACATCTTGTCATATTCAATCTTTCCTTATTTCAGCAGTTTCATGATATTTATATGTTTGTGGATATTAATGAGAAATTTGCAGGAAAGTCATCACTTGGAGCAGGAGACTTGCAAAAGATCATCATTCTGGAAGAGAACAAGGGGGAAAAAAAACACTGGTTGATCAGGAATTAAAGAAGTTAACTGAAATAAATAGAACAATCTTTTTCTGTAAAACAATGTTTTACTGAGAACATTAGATTATAGGAAATGTGACCTTTTTAAATTCATTTTTATTCTGTTATTTGTTCAATATTCTTTGGGGGCCAACAACATCCCCACATACCCAAAATTCATTTAACTCAACTGTAGAGGCTGTTTAAAACATGCACAAGGTAATGTTTTTATCTTACTCATGTGAGAAAGCAACGATGTGTCTAACTACAATCAAGGATGGCCAAAATTCTAATAAGAGCATACAAAAGCAGACAATGAAAGAAAAGAGACAAACTGACTGTCCTTCGTGTGGTGCTTCTTAAAGACATACAATGAGTCACTCCCGTCCCTATGCAGGACATCATTATTAGCTAAATTCACCAAAGACTAAGAGCATCATAGATTACGTGGCAACAATATCAGTGTGAAACATGTAAGAAACTTTTTCAGAACCATGGTGAACCTCTTGGTCCCACAAATTTGACTTTTAACTATATAGATATTTTGTAATGACCAGTACTGCGCAGTGAAGAATATTAACAGCAATGGAGGTACAAAGTCAGTTTTACAATATCAAATTTGTTTTCCTTCAGTGCCAAAATTTGGTGCAATAAAGAGGCATTTGAGAAAATCGAACTTGAACTGCACTAACCTTTGTGTAAACCGCCAGTTTTAATCTATATTAATGGGCAGAGCACGGGAAGCACATTAAGCTGTAGATTTCAAAAGGTCTAGGTTTGCACTGATCAAGGCAGTCAAAGCTGCCAAATACAAATACAGAGATACAGAAATTCTCCTCAAATGTCACTCATTAGAGAGAGACAGTGTAAGAAATAAAAGGTGTACACTTACCATGATTCCAGGGAAATGGCAGCACAGGGGTCTTGGCGTTAACAGTGGCCAGTCAAGCTGGAGCAAGTGACACAGGCGACAGAAGACTTCAGCAGTTTCTTCACAATGGAGCTTCATTAAGGATGAAAACAGAGTCTGAAAGACAAGACGTAAGAATGAGTATAATTCAAAACAGAGACTGTTTCTAGTACAAAGTCTACTTCATGTTTGCACAATGACTCCTAAAAAGGTTCAAGCAGCACAAAGTATGATATAGGAGGAAGCTGTCTATGAATAAGAAGATGATTATAAATGTCTGCTTTCAGTATCACCAACATGGCCAAATAGGGCAACTGAGGGTATAAAACACCTGAGTAAAATGTTCCAATCCTTTGTCAAAGCCCAACATGAACGAGACAAGCGTTTTCAATGAGTAATGGCGAAGCAAGAACAGAAGTGGTACTCACTACAGCACCAATTTGACCTGATACGAGAAGAAAGCAGACACAGAGTCACAGTCAAGAGGTGCATACAACAGCGTATCAGACTCCAATAATACCGTTGTTCCAAGAAAACGAACTATGTTCGAGCGGATGGCACAGGCAAAGAGGTGACAGAGAGAGGATAAGGCACTTCATCTTGTTCCACTGCTAGAGGGTAAAGCCAGAGTGGTGTATGTGTTTGTGGACAGTGAGGATGCTTGGGACTTCAAGCAAGTGAAGGATGCCATCCTGAAGTATGAACCAAAGAGAAAATAGGAAACACTATCATTCGAACAGTATTTGAGAATGGTGAATCCAGAACTTCACAGGTGGATCATCGAGCACAATTCCAACTTCAGTGAACCAAGCTATGGACATGGCGGAATTTGTCGCAGCAAGGCAGACATAGACAGAGTACCAAATCAACGAAAGCAGCCCAAAGTCCAGCTGGAGGTCTGGTAAGTTTGGAAAGCGGGTTTGGCAATGGTTTTATGCACCCTCAAGGGTGTTTGAATAAAGGCTATGGGGAAGAGCACCAATGTTAGCTTTAGACGGCAAGCAGAGGAAATGCTCCTAAAATTCTTTAAGGTGTGTATTTAAAAGCATAAAATCCTTGTCCCAAGTTCGCTACTCCCTCAGACCACTTATGTTACATCCCAATAACAGAAAATAATAATTCAATGCAGTATAGCAACAGTGAGACTGTAATACCAGTGAAAATAAAATCGCAAAAACTTTCAAAGCGTTGGTAGACACAGGAGCCAGTCAAACACTCATTATGGCTTAACGTCTGCCACAGCTAATTCACACTGGCAATTTAGGATTACATGTATCCACAGAGACAAGCAAGTTTATCCTACAGCTGAAGCAAATGTTTAGATTAAAAGGTCAAGCTTACCTATTAAATGACGCAAAATTCTCCTTAAGCAGTCATTTTGGGCAGGGATTATTCCAGACCTTTTAAACATGGAACCAAAAGAGGCAGAGGCAGTGGTAGTAGCTAGGCTCCAAGTACACAAAAAGATCTAGCTAGCAAGACGTTCGAACTGCCATATTTGGAAGGAGTGAAAAGGAAGAAAACTAACAGAGTAAAAGAGCACAAAAAAAATTAAAGACACCAAATTAACAAAACAACTGAAAATCCCAGCTATTGAGCCAAGTGCACTGCCAGGTAACATAGCAGAATTACAAGATGAAAGCAAGATGAAATGCTTAAGCCATTGTTTGCTATGTGCAGGAAAGAAAGTGGACTAATAGGAAAACATTGCCAACAAGTCATAAAAGAAGACAAACTGTACAGGGTCAAAGGAAATTTTGAGCAGCTAGTTGTCCCCAAACAATAAGTTCTGAAATTAGTTCACTCAGAACCATGGGCAGGTCACCTAGGCCAGGCAAAAACATGGAATAGGATAGCCAGCCGTTGCAATGTTACAAAACCAGGGCCCCTTTAAATAACATGCCAATTACTGATATGCCATTTTCAAGGATTGCCATGGATGTTGTTGGCACCTTAACAAAAAGCAAAAAGCAGGGGAGGGAACCGACACATTCTAGTGATCTAGGATTAAGTTACCTGACATGTTGCTCTGAGGCTTTTCATCTAAGAAACGTCAAAACATGTCAGATTGTAAACACTTTAATACAGCTTATTTCTAGGGTAGGAATACCTAAAGAGAAACTAACTGTCCAGGGTACAAACTCTACATCTAGACAACTTAAAGAGGTTTTTACATTGCTGGGTATAAGGGGCATAAAGAACAAGCCATACCAAACTCAAACTCCTGGAATGGTAGAACACTTCACCAAGCATGAAAAGCATGCCGTGCAAATATGTGAAAGAAATGGGAGCAGACTGGGACATGTGGCTTTCATATCTGCTGTTTGCATACAAGGAGGTCCCACAAGCCTCAACAGGATTTTCCCCATTTGAACTCTTGTATGCAAGGCAAGTCAGAGGCCCACTGGATGTCTTAAAAGAGGCCTGGGGAGGAGAAAACCCAAGTGAGAAACTAAACATTTTGTCATATGTTCTCAAAATGAGAGATGAGTCAGTTGACATCTTAAGTCCGGGAGAACACTGAGAACACACAGAGCAAGCTGAAGCTGTGGTACGACAGGGCAGCAAGAAACTGCAGCCAACGTCAGACACCTGGCAAAATTGCACAAAGAGCAATTGTGCATAAAAGTAAATAGATAAGAAGCTAAAATTTCAGATGAATTCATTTGCATGGAGTGAAACCAAGAACAGGTTAACTACGAAAAAAAATGATTGGCAACATAGCTCACAGAGCAGTAATGCAGAAAGGTAAACGAATAGGAAGCTAAAATTCCAGGTAGATCTTGAAGGCTTCACACTGGGCCAGAATGATTCCATATTAGACAGAGATCCACTCTCCGATTCTAAGGAAAACCTAGTTTAAGCCTGGCCCAAGCTGATTTAATACATTAAATAACTGGCAATATGGTACATTATGCAGTACTGCATACAGGTAAATGAATAGGAAGCTGAAATTCCAGGTAGATAATGAAGGCCTTATTCACACCAGGCTAGAGAAACTGTACATCACAGATAGATATCCAGTCTCCCACTGTAAGGAAAACCTGTCTTTAGTCTGGCCCAAGCTGATTTATTCTTATAAAATAATTGGCAACATGGCACATTAAGCAGTGGTATCCACTGAATGAACAGGAAGCTGAAATTCCCGGTGGATACTGAAGGCCTTATCCACATCAATAGAGACCCAATCTCCCACTATAAGGAAAACCTAGTTTTAGCCTGGCCCAATAATTTAATACATAAAAATAACTAGCAACATAGCACATTAAGCAGTAATGCACACAGGTAACCTGGATCTGAGTAACTTATAGACAATCTGAAGTTTGGCTGTCTCTATTTCTCTAAGAGTGAGTCGTAAACATGGTGTTAATGGAGTAAAAAGTGATAAATAGATCTTTATCTTCAGCAGATCAGCCCCTGTTTCTCTCTATTTCTGTAAGAGTGAGTTATAAACAGTGTAAACAGAGTGAAAAAGAGATAAACAGCTCTTTACCTTCAGCAGATCAGCTCCTGTTTCTCTCTATTTCTGTAAGAGTGAGTTATAAACAGTGTAAACAGAGTGAAAAAGTGATAAACAGCTCTTTACCTTCAGCAGATCAGCTCCTGTTTCTATTTCTGTAAGAGTGAGTTATAAACAGTGTAAACAGAGTGAAAAAGAGATAAACAGCTCTTTACCTTCAGCAGATCAGCTCCTGTTTCTCTCTATTTCTGTAAGAGTGAGTTAGAAACAGTGTAAACAGTGAAAAAGAGATAAACAGCTCTTTACCTTCAGCAGATCAGCTCCCGTTTCTCTCTAAAACCAGGAAGCTCTTCTTCTTCTTCTCTGCATCGTTTATGGAGAACCACCGTTTTAGAACCAGCGCCCCCTATTGACGTCACCATTGTGGATCTGGGGGCGTTATTTTTCTAATCCCACCCACATTCCGACAAACCGCTCCTCCGGCGCTACGATTGGCTATAAAGTTCAAAAGAGCAGCCGCCCGTATATTTACTGCAGCAGTTATGAATCTACACAAATATGACATAAAATAATGGAATAATTATGACGGAACACATTCAATAAATACATTATCATATAAATAACTGCAGGAAATTTGGTCAGAATTAATGGAAAATGAATGCAGCAGATTATCAGACATTGTTGGAGGACAGTTTATATGCATGATGCATGAATGTGGTGCATTTGGACTTTAACACACAGCCAAGTTGAACCTTCAGCCGCTGCAGCAGATTAAAGTGAAGGTTCTGGTGTCGCCCTCACAGTGTCAGACCTCAACATCATTGAGATACTTTGGGTGAACTCAAATGTTCGCACAGAGGATCTTTATGATGCGAACTATGTCTGTGTTTATCACTCTGACCTGTATGTGGCACTTTAACATGAAAAGTGTAAATTTGTAAATTATTCAAATTAGCATTTAAATGATTACACTTAAAATGTCTGTATCCAACTTTACTGATGTGATTTTGGGCTGTCCCACCTCACTGACACTGAACTTCTCTATGAAGTATATTTATTAATATTTTCCAAGAGCATCATAATGACTATGGTATTTGGTTAATTTAAAGTTAAAAGTTTACACTTTTTTACACAAACTTTACACTTGGCACAATGCAGTCAGACAAGTACCGTTCTCCTGTCAACCACCAAACCCACTTTGTGGCTGAGTTGCTGACGTTCCCAATCGCTTCCACTTTGTCATAATACCACTGACAGTTGACTGTGGAATATTTAGTAGCGAGGAAATTTCACGACTGTCCTTGTTGCACAGGTGGCTTCCTATCACACTACCACGCTGGAATTCACTGAGCTCCTGAGAGCGACCCATTCTTTCACTAATGTTTGCAGAAGCAGTCTGTATGTCTATGTGTTTGGTTTTATACACCTGTGGCCATGGAAGTGATGGAAGAACACCTGAATTCAATGCTTTGGATGGGTGAGTGAATACTTTTGGCAATATAGCATATTAGTATGCTACAAAGAGTGTTATTTTGCTGTAATTTAAGGGATAATTTGCATCTGATTTAGCATAATTTGTATCGTTGATTTTTTACTGTAGCTTTTATTCTAGCAAGCAGTAGATTAGAACATTAACTAAACTCTTGGCTAACACTGAACATTTAAATCTGGTAAAGTGAAAATAGTGTGGATTGAAAACACGCTTATTATAATGTTACGACCCAGGGTTAAGTCTAATGGACAGGGGTCGCAAACCATGAGGCAGGTGTGGAAGAAGTGGTGGAAGAAGAGAAGTGACTGAAACACAACTTTTAGCATCCACTTCCAACTTTGAAATACTGGCACAGTACAGAGTAAAGCCTTCATCTGTTCAAATGCATGCTGGCACTGGGACCACATAAACTTTCTACTGGGGGTTAACAACAAAGTCAATGGTTCAGCTACTGTAGAGAAACCTTTACAGAACCCACGATAGTATCCTGTTATACCCAAAAACCTACGTACACCTCGTTTGTCTGTGGGAACAGAAAATTCTAAAATTTTAGCTCACAGTGGAGACTTTCCCGTGTCCAACCTCTTTCCCCAAGTAGGTAACAGTAGCTTGTGCACATTCACATTTGGCCAAATTGAGAGTCACAGAAACTTGAGATAATTTCTGAAAAAACATCTCTAAAATTTTTAAATGGCTAGACGAATCAGATGTATAAATGGCCAAGTCATCTAAATAGTCTGTACAATCAGGTACATTTGCTGGGACAGTATTTACAAGTCTTTGAAACGTTGCAGGTGCATTCTTAAGTCCAAAAGCCATAACTTCATACTGTACAAAATCATCAGGTGTTATAAAACTGATAAATCTGAAGTTCTGTCAGTTAATGGAACCTGCCAGTAACAATTTAGCAGATCTAACTTGCTGATAAACTGAGCAAAACCAACTTTGTCTACACAATCAATTCTTGGCAGCTTTTAGTTTACGATAATCTGTGCAGAGTCTAACAGTACCATTTGGCTTTGGCACTAATACACTTGGTGATCTCCATGGACTAGGTTTAGCCAAGTTATGATGTAACAAGTAGTCAATCTCTTGCTTCAACAATGTATGGTTGGTATTATTTACTCTGTAAGCATGTTGCTTAATTAGAACAGAAGTGGTAACTTCAACATCTTGCTGAATTAGTTCTAGTGGGAACATCCTTAAAAATACTAAGAAAACACTCAATTAAACTAATAATGTCTGCATGTTGTTCTTCTGTTAAATAAGTTAACACTGAAGGCAACTTTGTCAACAACTCTGAATTCAGCAAACTAACACCAGATAAGTTATCCTCTGGCAACTTTAAAACATTGCTATCAGTACCTTCCCCTGTATCCCCATTTGCAACCTCCAACATAGCAACAGAAACAGGAACAGTATCCAACAGTATCCTTTGAATGATTTGAATAATATGCCTTCAACTTGTTAATGTGGCACAACCTAGTCTGTCTTCTATGATCTGGTGTACAACAACATAATCATTTTCACTTTTTGTTCAATCAGATACGGACCTGAAAACTTGGCTGTAAGAGAAGAACCAGGGATAGGTAACAAAACCAAAACCTTATCTCCCTCTTTAAATTAACATGCATAGAGCTGCTTCATATTGGTTTGAGACTTATTCAATGTATCCTGGGCTAATTCACATGCACGATGCAATCGCACTCTAAAAGTACTGACATAGTCTAAAATATTTTGGTTGCTTTGACCTTCTACCAACAATGACTCTTTTATAACTTTCAAAGTTCATCAGACTGTAAGACCAAAAACAAGCTCTGCTGGACTAAAACAAAGAGACTCTTGTACTGCTTCTCTTACTGCAAATAACGCCATAGGTACTCCCTCATCCCAATCATTAGCATGCTCTACACAGTATATCTGAAGTATGGACTAAAGCGATTGGTGGAACCTTTCTAATGTGCCGTGTGATTCTGCATGGTATGGATTAGACACTACATGTTTTACATGCAAATTCTTCATAACTTGTGAGAAAAAAAGTTTGTACCTTGATCTGTCTGTACTACTTTGGGCAACCCAAACATGGTCAAAGCTTTCACAAATACAGGAGCAGTTATTTTCCTCAAAGGAATTGCTTCAGGAAATCTGGACATGATTGTCAACAGAAACTGGTTACCTGACTTTGTTTTTGGCAGCGGATCAGCACAGTCTACAAAAAGTCTTTCAAAAGGTTCACCAATAGCTGGTATAGGAACAAGCAGAGCTGGAGGTGTACTTGATTTGAATTACCCACACACTGACATGTATGACAAGCTCTACACAATTGTATTACATCTTTCCTAAGACCAGGCCAAACGAAATGTTTAAGTACATGTATGTAAGTCTTTGCCACCCCTTTCCAGAGAGAGACATGGGACTGCTGTATAATATGCCTCATAGACCTCTCAGTGGAGATTCCCAACAAGGCCATCAAGCCTATGGGCTTCTCTGTGCACTGCACGGACAGAACAAAGGACCTCCTCCAAGAGGATTGTGAGGCAAGGAAAGCAATGTCTGTGATTAAATTGTTTAAGTCTGTGCATGCAGCAGTATCATCAGGCCAGTGAGAGGTATATAGGTGAGTCTGCAGAGCGTTGAACAGCAGGAGGCTCCATGGTGGTCAAACTGGTCCAGAAGACAGGTGAGCAGTGGACTCCCAATCAGGGCAGATGAAGCAACAACATCAGACTGCACAGGATGGGCAGTTGTTTAGCTTGGCAAAGAACATACAGATAGTTCGGTTAGGAGTGACTAAGAACAGTACATAGTGTTACCAGAGTGCAGCAGTGACTCCAGCAGGCCTAACTTTTTGTGAGGGCTACCTGAGATGTCAGCACCCCTCTGTTCCACAATCAACAAATTTGAGTGAATATGTGAAAACAGCAGGACGACACCAACATTCTCAGTTTACCATAATACGCTGTCAATCAACATACATATCTGCATCTGTTAGCTAATGAAAAAAAAAAATTACCAAAGGCTTGACCAAACAAGTAGGTTTTTTTGTCTGTAAAGCTGCTTTGTATCAATGCCTTTTGTAAAAAGTGCTATAAATAAACTTTGACTTGACCTGAATCTTTCTGTCTATCTGTAATGTGTGGGGGAAAAGCATATGAAAATCTAAGATCAGCTCTACACTCAACAGTCTCCTCTCTGAAAGAGCTGGACCTCAGTAACAATGACTTGCAGGATTCAGGAGTGGAGCTGTCCTGTGCTGGACTGAAGAGTGCCCCTTATAAACTGAAAACTCTCAGGTGATCTTTCTATAAAGTAGATTTTTAGTTATAAACACTGTTACAGTTAATATATTTCAGATATTTAGGAATGATCCCTTGTTCTTTCTACGTTGACTTTTGGTGAAATTTATCATTTTTAACGCTGAATATACATTACACATGAATTGAGATTTTCTAAATAAGGGTTAGCAAAGAGAAAACTGAACTCTTCCCCAACAGCAGTTCACACTCTTGTTGAACTAATTCGCAAATATTTTACATGCATCATTCAGAATAATGTTCTGCAGTATTTTTCTGAAAATATTTGAAGCACTTGTTTTTCAACTTGCCGGATTCGACAGCTGCACATCTGTATGTAAGGTCTTTCATTCTCATATGTTGCTGCATGAAATTTATAAATATCTATCAATCAAATTTTGTGAACATTAACATGGAAATTAAACTTTGAAAATAGAATGTTTCATCAGCTGTAAATTGGTTTTGTTCTTGCATATGTGAATTCTTTTGTCATTAGCTTCATGAATCTTTACTTTCTCTTTGTTTTCATTGATCTGTATCCCCGCTCTCAATCAATATATCAGCAGAGATGGACA